CGCCCTCCTCGGTCTTGGAGCCCAAGTTCGTGTGCGATGGGAAGAACGAACGCACAGGGGAACCTGGTGTCGAAGTTTTCGGACTATGTTTCCATGCCTACGGAGCCCACCAACCGTGAGAAGTGGGACGAGCTTCTGGAAAGTGTCGGGTGCCTCGCAGCCATTGTTGACCATCCGGTTGACGCGAGGGCTCATGTCACGGTGCAACAGAACGTGGACAATTTGAGTTTCGCGAAAGCTGCACTTGAGAAAATCCACTTGGATTATGCGCGCTGGCTGGATAGGACGAGCTTGAGGATTCTCGGAGCATTGCCTTGCCCCGGGGAACCGGCGGCGGATTTTATCTTCGTCGGTGATTCGAGTATGGCGTTGGTTCAGGCCGAAGCACCGCCAGAGGGATCGTTCGAGCCTCCCAAACTCACCCGCCGCAACATTGGTGAGTTCATCAAGGCTGATCCCAGTGGCTTGCGCGAGACCGCGGCGTCGGTTCAGTACGGGATGCGTTGGGGCAAGGGGCTCGAGCAGATCAACGACGAGATCGAGAGCTGCTTGAACTGTGACCGCCGACGCAGCCGGGAACGGCGTGCCCCTGCGATCATCGTGGTGTCGTATGCCGGCAACGACGTGTGGGGGAAACACGGGTTTGTCGGCAACACTTGGATCGACTCAAGATCCGTGCACCGCAATCCTGCAGTGCAGAGGGCTGCCTCGGAATGGCAGGACGAGTTGGCGAGGAGGCATTATGCCCAGTTGGAGAGGAGCGAACTTCCTCACTCGCCCCGACGTGGGAGCCATCTCGATAATAGCATATGCAGATGCGAATTCCTTTGGGCTCCACCAAGATTTCGCGCGTCAAATGTGCTTGTTCGGAGATGCCGCCCGGGACCGCGGGTTGCTTGCTGTGACTGGCGCTCCGCTCACTCGCGCCACGACCCGATATGATGGGTTCCATGCTGAGGACAGCGATAGCAACAGGACTGCATACTATCGATATTACGTTGCTATGGCGCGTTTGACCTATCAGATGTGGCGATTGAAAGACTGTGAAGCGTTGAGAAAGCAAGCCCGCATCAAGCCTGTCATGACCCCGAAAGACGAAAAAGCCCGCGCGGAAGCCGAGGCCAAAGAGAGATATCGTGCGTCCTACGTGTTTCTCGAGCCGCATGACCGCTTTCCTGAGAACAAGATCATGATCGAACCCAACCTTTGCAAAACCTGCGTGTACCCTGACGGTCACGAGGTGGCGCTCTTGGACGAGATCACTGGGGAACACTTGAAGGCCACTCCGGAAGAACTGGAGCGGGCTGGCATCATTGTGCCCCAGGGAACTGGAGAGCCAACCGTCGACATGACCTCGTCGCCCGAGAAGGAATCAAGCGTCAATGACCCTGTGGAAGATGATTTCGTCCCGGACTATGACCCCGATGACGAACCTCATCCAACGCAGAAGACTACCCGTCTTGCTGAGCCAACCGATTCATGCCCTGACGAGAAGCTCATGAGCGTGAACGCCGGCAAGAAGATCGCTTGGGAACATGTGTCAAGAGTTGAGATTGAAGAGACGGACCTTCGCGTCAGATCAGACATCGACCAACCTCCTGAGACTGTCGATGAGATCATTGAGATCGTGGGTGATCACTATCACGCCGCCATCGCCGAAGGATACCAGGACCCGCAGGACGACGCCCTTGAATCCGATGACGAAGAGATGTTTTCAATCAGCAGATCGTCGGTGGTTCAAGCGCGCTGGAAAGCGTTGCCGAGAAGATGAAGTTCAACAAAATCTACGCAGCCCAATACCTCGAAGGGGGAGCATTGCATCTTTGAAGGAACCCGCATGGGGCAATCTTCATGTCCAGCAACGCATTGCGCCACTACACTGAGGCGGTGACGGGCAGGTCCATCCCTCTTCATTACCTCGATGATGACGGAGATGACGACGATGATCTTCCGCCTCCTCCACCACCGGCGGAGCCTTGCCCATACAAAAAGGACAAGGATGGCATTCATCGTCCGGTAACCGAAGATCTTCCAGCCTTGAAGAGAAAGACTGCCGCTGATCTCGGTGCGGCACCCAAGGCAAAAGCGGCGCCTGACAGCCTCAAGAAACTCCGCAGTGGGGATCGACCTTGAAATGGAAGAGACAGCAGGGGCATCATCATCATCATCAGCCAATCCTCCCAAGGCAAAACCCATGCCGAAGCCTCCATCCGTACCCAAAGCCGCAGCATCAAGCTCAGCGGCCCCCGGAAGGGATGCGCCCAATTTGGTTCCAGCAGGAGGTACACCGATTCGTGCAACCATGCCGGCAAATCAAGTGCCGGGTGCTGCAGTGATCGGGTGGTATGATCAGGAGCAGTTCTTTGTCTCAAAGCGTGTCTCCGGCCTGCTGTGTGGACACAACCACGCCAATCGGCGAGAGCTTCCGGACTTCCAGGACGGGGCATGGATGGATTTTGCATCGGTGTTTTCCTTCATCAAGAGGAGGTATTCCCGCTCCCTCACCGTGTCGGACTTGATTGACATCGTGACTTCAAACCATAGGTTCATGCTCGATGTGCAGCTTGCCCGCGAGGGGGAACTTTTCGCCGGGAAATACCTCTTTCTGCCGGTGCGAATCAAGGCAATCCAATCGCACAACGACTGGATTCTGGAGAACATCAACATGGCGTGGCCCGAGGTCGACAGAATCATCTGCCTCGATCCGTCGTTCACGATCGAACGCCTGTTGCGAAGGGAGCATCCAACGCTCCCAGTACGACTTGACCTGCGCATCAAGGATGTTCACCCCAAGATCTTGTACCACTACACTCATATCGCCTTTGTGGATGATGTGATCCGGTGTGGCATTTGTCCGGGGGGACTCAGGACTAGCAAGGCTCATTCGTACTTTTCGGCCTTCGATCCGTGGAGCATCCAGAAGACGAGTCAAGCAGGAATGGCTTCGACCAGGCCCATTGCAATTGCCGTCGATGTCGAGATGGCGGTGTCATATGGGATCAGGTTCGCCGTCACTCAGAGCCAGGCTGTTGTGACTACTGATTGGGTGCAAAATCAGTTCCTCATCTATGCATATGACGTGTCAGCGAAATGCTTCATCTATGCGAACCACGACTATGCAAAGGAGAGAGCCTCGTTCAATCAGGATCTCCCAGACATCGTCGCGCGTCGCCGGGAACGGCTTGACTGACCGTGGTGAAGAAGCAGACGACAAAGCGAGGAAGCAGTCGTTGCTGGCAAGGTCGAGATGGGACCTGTTTGGCAAGTATGAGAAATGGGTGCATGGAGCTTGGGTGGAAAATGCCTTCATTCTCGAATCGTATAACCGTGAGTTCTGCAAGGATCAGCTCGAGCATGCAGATGCCAATATCGGAACATACTCTACTCCGTACATGGCAATTGCATGGCAGCCGGAAGGCGATGCCCCGAACAACTCGGCATGGCCTCCATCGCTGGGATCGGTTGATTGGGCGCACTGGACCCCTGAAATGGAGATGCGCTACGATCCTCGAGGAAATGAGAAGTTCTTCACCTCACGGTGGATCACTGTTCGACAGCATGATGTTGAGCCACAGTATTGTGCCGACTGCCAAACCGATTCACCTTTCGGATGTTTGTCGTGCTTGAACTGTGGACGACTTGCACGTGTTGCGACAGATATGAGAAAGGCTTCGCTCCTTGTCCGTCTTGAACCTTAGCCGCAAGCTTCGGTTTCGACTTGTCGTTGGACATGTTCCCAGATGACGACATTCGTGCCCGGGGGGACCGTGGGCTGAGGAATCCTGCAGGTGGTAGGATCAGGACTGGACAATCTGCCATCGCAACGATCCGAGCACATGCCAAATCGCACATGGACAAATCGAAGAAACTAGAATTTGGCTCGCTCACAGAGCGTTTGCGCTTGGATCCGTTCTACGCGTTCAACTGCGCGGCGCAGGACATGTCCCCTGACTGTTTGAAGTTTTTACAACGACTCAGTTCAGCGGTATTGCCCATCCCGACGCGTACCGCCCAGCAAATCCAAGACGGGGTAGGTGTCAATGTGAAAGCAAAGATCCTTATGATCCCCGACACATCCCAGCGCGAGGTCGACGTGTCGAATGAGGTCTTTGTGTTCTGGAAGACGAACAAGATCCTACGCCCTGGTGTCTTTGTTGGACTGTACTCGATGGAGAGCAATCGCTTTGAGGTCTTGGGTTTTTCCGGCTCATTCCTCTCGGAAGAGAAGGACGTTGAGAAGCTCAAAACGGAGTTCGTTGGCTGGCTATCATCTGACCTCCAGAGCATTCCGTCCTACGAGAACCTCCTACGTGCAGATCCACGCAACATTCACGTACCGGAGAGGGAGGGCGTCGATCGTGTGAAAGGAAAAGGTAAGGGCACATGGCGTCACGAAGGCCGACCGGCTCGTGAGAACGCACCTTACTCCAGGAATCGTTGGGCCCGTGATTGGAGGGACCTCGACGACGATGTTGGCACCATTCCAGGTTGGCGTCACGCAGATTGGACATGGTACCATGACACGTACGGAGCGGACTGGTGGCGTCAAGGACGATGAACGCCACCAATGCACGGCGGGAGCCGATGCCTTACGGTAGTTGCGCAATTCTTTTCATCCAGTGCTTGTGGTCGCGCATTACCTCATTTGGTGTCGAGGTGCTCTCAAAAGCCTTTGCGCGCGCTGCGGAAGCAGTAGCCTCACGCTTACCATCTTTGAGGCTGTCTGCATTCTTTGCGAGGCTTAAATTCGTTTTGCCGAAGTGCACTCTTCCTGAAAGGAAGCATCACTCAGCATGCCGCGTGGAAACGTGTGCCTATGTAAAAGGCCCATTTCCAATTTGACGAGCTGTGGATGCATGTGAAAAGCGCTGCGTCCGATCTTCAATCGTCCGTTCGGCAGTTGACTTCATAACTTAATCGAGTTAATCGTCGTTCCCTTGCGCCTCAGGCCGGCAAAGAATCTATGAAAGTCATAGGCGCGTACGGTGTTGACCACGAGGGAAACACCGGGGAACCGGAGGTCAGAAAGGTATGCACGTTGTCCCGTGTACATAATCGTGTATAGGTTCCTTCACTACCTTTGCTGCCAAGTGCGTTCAGCGGGGGGTGTATTTGCACGATTGTACACCTGTACATACCATATCGACCTCTATGTTTGGCTCAAGAAAAGGGCGCTCTACACGTTGGTACTTGTAGGCTGTTGGCCTGTAAATTCACTTTGTGCCGGATGTTGGCTTCAATCATCCTGGTCGTGTTTGCCACCTTGTCGAAAGTGCATTCCACAAAATTTGAAATGTTCACGGGACAGTGCAGGCGCAAAATGATTTTCAAAACATGTGAACTTTGTTTGAACGCTGCAGCTGCTAGGAACCCAATCTGGTCCTATTGCGCAATGATGGGCCAAGTCAGGTGCAATGGTCCATTGTTGACTTTTGCCGTTTTGCCGCGGCTTATGAGCCAGGCAGTTCACTGGAGGCAACCAACAACAGTCCAGCTCGCCACGCCTTCCACGTGCATCCTGCTGTGGATGGACCGGGTTGCCATCAGTTTTCAGCTGGCGTTGTCATTTTGTTGACAGATGGTCACAGTGCAGGACGAGTCCCGTTTAGGCGGTGGGCAGGACGGGAGTAGTTTTTTCGCACTGTGTAGACAGGGGGCGCGCGGCATGCGGAGGTGTTTTTTTGCCGTGCTAAAACCCGAGGCGCTTTGCAGATTAGCGCTTCACCAATGCCATGTTGGGACTTCGGCCTCCTTTCCAGCAAGGGCCCTTGGGTGACAGAATGGCGTGGCCAGTTCGCATTGTTGGCATTGGTTTCCCCAGGCAGAGTCGCTTGGAGGCGAGGTTTTGGGCCGCAGTGGGGCGCGGCAGTCGCAATATCCTATGCATTGCTGGCAGGCTCTCACGAACCAGCCGTGAAATCCCTTAGTGCCCCTCGGGCTCCGCACGGCTAAATTTTGATGTTCTTTGTTCAATCGCATTTGGGCAGCGAACTTGAGGTCAAAGTGATTGGTGCTGATTCATTGGGCAAGTATGCTGCATTTGTTCCTTTGATCCTTGGAATCATAAGCGGGGAGCCGAGGTTTTGTAACTTTGCGCTTTTGTGATTGTTTTTTTTTTGCGTATTTCTCAGTGGCCAAGGTGTTCTTTCATCAATGATCTGGCTGTGGCGCCTGGAGACTTCAGGTTTAGCTGCCGGCCCCTTTGGTATTACTATGGCGTACGCCTCGTGTTTTGACGGCTGTACTCCAAGGTTGCGTTGCTGTGGCATGCCTGGCACTGGACCCAAGCTACACCAGTGCGACAAATAACTTTTATGGCACTCTTGCTGCAGACAGGCCAAAGAAGCTGTTGATGTTTCATGCCCATGATGAAAAGTGGAAGATTCAAGCAAAGCTTAGGATTTGCCAGACTGGGTAGTTAGGTAGTTTCACTGGTATGGCCTTGCAGTACCGAACGACTTGGAGGTGAAGGGTAGGCTCGCAACACGAACGAAGAACGTGAATATCAATGCGACTGGGAGTGGCGAACCTTAACAGTTGCCCTTGAGTAGGGACACATATAAAGCTCTCGTCGTAGCATTGGAGTCCGTGCTTCACATTGTCCAAGCCAAGCATGAACTCTGAAGATCAACTACGCTCTCATTTTGTTGACCTGTTTCTCCAGTTCTTTTCCTCCACGTTCTGCGGCTGTCTATTCCGCATGTTTTTTGCAGAGTTCAGTCCTCCTTGCTCTTTTGACTGCTGCATGACCAGGCGTCCTTTGGACTGGCCTTTTCAGATTGAACATTCAGTCACTCTTTCCATTCACGTTTTAACTCGTGACCTTTGACTATGAAGCATGCTCATCACATTCACATGGTTGGCGCTGAGCTTGCAGTGCACACAGGGCGTATTGCTATGAATGCAGGCCGCTTCGCGTTGACAATCGCGCAAAGTGTGCTTCGAGGGAGAGGGAGCGCGAGGAAAGGTATATGCTTCACGCCCAAGCCCAAGCCAACACCCCAAATGATGCAAAACCGCGTGAGCAGGACTCTAGTTGATTATAGTATAGCTTCTTGTAAGATGTTTAACCATATTGAACAGTTTATCGTAATCATTTTTTTCGACAACCTTGAAGTTGTAGATTTTTCAGGGTGTCCAACTTACATCCAACAATGCAGTTCACCTGTAGGTCTTGTATCGGTCACGCATTGTGTAGTACACTTTAGTGTTTTCGCTCTACCCTTCGACCCAGCAATGCCAAGTACAATTCAGTGGATGAAAACAAGCATACAGGAAATAAAAGTTTGCATTGTTATATAGATGCAAGTTGGACCCTGATTATCCCGGCAAGAGGCCCCAAACAGTGTGTGTGTGTGAGATCTACAAGCAGAAAGTCTAGAGATCTAGACGCATTGGGGTCCAGAGAGGTGATGGTGGTGATGAAGGTGGGGATCGTGGTGACAGTGGCGGTGGTCGTGAGTGAGTGAGCGTGACTGTGACTGTGACTGTGAGTGAGAGTGAGAGTGAGAGTGAGAGTGAGAGTGAGGGTGAGGGTGAGGGTGAGTGAGTGAGAGTGAGAGTGAGAGTGAGAGTGTGAGTGTGAGTGTGAGAGTGAGAGTGAGAGTGTGAGTGTGAGAGTGAGAGTGAGTGAGTGAGAGTGAGTGAGGGTGAGGGTGAGAGTGAGAGTGAGGGTGAGGGTGAGTGAGAGTGAGTGAGTGAGTGAGAGTGAGTGAGGGTGAGTGAGAGTGAGTGAGAGTGAGTGTGAGTGAGTGAGAGTGAGTGCGAGTGAGTGTGAGTGAGAGTGAGTGTGAGTGCGAGTGTGAGTGAGATTGAGAGGGAGAGTGAGTGTGAGTGAGAGTGGGAGAGTGGATGAGTGTAAGTGCGAGTGTGAGTGAAGAGTGAGTGTGAAGTGAGAGTGGGCGTGAGCGTGTGTGAGTGAATGAGAGTGAGTGAGCATCTGAGAGCACAAACTGCTGTGACGGCCCAACGGCCCACGGGTTGTCGCACACGAGCTCCAGGGACAGGCAAAGGGAGAGACACAAGAGACAAGATCAAATTAGATTAGATAAGAGAAGAAAAGAAAATCTAAGAAAAGATAAAGCAAGCTAGGACGAGATAAAACAAGAAAAGACTAGAAATGTAAGAGAAGTTAAGGTAAGATAAGATACGATGAGGTGAGGTAAGATAAGGTAAGGAAAGGTTCGTTGAGAGGTCGAACGGGAGATGGATTCGATCGGGTAGACAGATAAAATCGAGAAGATAGAGATGAGAAAGATTGGACACATGAAGAGATCAGATGAGAACAGACTAGAAAAGGTCAGATGAGATACGGAAGGAGTAGGTAGGAACAGATTTGTAGATGGATCCGATCGACTAGATGAGGAAAAGATAGATCAGGTAGAGGCGATAGACTGGATCGATTGCAAGGATTAGATAGGTTAGGTAAACAGGATCTTCTAAAAACTTCGACCAGGAACATGACAGGAGATAGACAGATAAGATTAGACCAAACAGGATCAGAGAAGAGAAGCAAGCGTGAGATAAGATAAGGTAAGCTAGGAAACGATCAAAAACCTGATAGAACCCACGAACCCGAATGCAGTCACTTTGTATAGAAGCGTAGCACTCAAAGCGTTCTTGTTTTCGGAGATGACTCGCAGAGTCATCAACTAAAGCACCGCTAGCACCTCCCCAGCCGTCTAGACACTCTTTCTTGACACACTTTGCTAGACAATCTTTCTTGACACTTTCTCTTGACACTCTTGCTTGACACTCTTGCTTGACACTTTTGCTGGATACTTTTACAGGGCATTCTAGCTTGACATTTTTGCTTGACACTCTTGCTTGACACTCTTGAAAAAAAGCATGTTTCACGAGACTTTCACCAGAAGCGACAATCAAAGCTTTCAAAACCGAGCATTTTCCACGAGACTTTCTCTTGCTAAACAGTCTTGCTTGAAACTCTTTCTTGACACTCTTTGCTAGACACTCTTGCTTGACACTTGTTCTTGACGCTCTTGCTTGACACTCTTGCTGGACACTCTTGCTTCACACTCTTGCTAGACACTCTTTCTTGACACTCTTTTTTCTAGACAATCTTTCTTGACTCTTGCTTGACACTCTTGCTTCACACTCTTGCTGGACACTCTTGACACGACACTCTTGCTTGACACTCTTTGCTAGACACTCTATCTTGACCCTCTTTGCTAGAAACTCTTGCTTGACACTCTTTGCTAGACAATCTTGCTTGACACTCTTTCTTGGCACTCTTGCCTGACACTCTTTACGGGACACTCTTGCTGGACACTCTTTGGTAGACATTCTTGCTAGGCACTCTTGCTTGACACTCTTTCTTGACACTCTTTGCTAGACACTCTATCTTGACCCTCTTTGCTGGACAGTCTTGCTTGACACTCTTGCTTGACATGTTTGCTGGGCACTCTTTGCTAGACACTCTTGCTTGACACGTTTGCTGGGCGCTCTTGCTGGACACTCTTTGCTAGACACTCTTGCTTGACACTCTTTCTTGACACTCTTTGCTAGACTCTCTTTCTTGACACTCTTTGCTAGACACTTGTTCTTGACACTCCTGCTTGACACTCTTGCTGGACACTCTTGCTTCACACTCTTGCTGGACATTCTTGCTGGACACTCTTTGCTAGACATTCTTGCTAGACACTCTTGCTTGACACTCTTTCTTGACACTCTTTGCTAGACTCTCTTTCTTGACACTCTTTGCTAGACGCTTCTTCTTGACACTCTTGCTGGACACTCTTGCTTCACACTCTTGCTGGACATTCTTTCTGGACGCTCTTGCGTGACACTCTTTCTTGACACTCTTTGCTTTCTTGACACGCTTTGCTTGACACTCTGCTAGACACTCTTGCTGGACACTCTTGACAGGACACTCTTGCTTGACACTCTTGCTACACACTCTTTCTTGACACTCTTGCTGGGCAGGACAATCTGCTAGACACTCTTGCTGGACACTCTTGAAATGACATTCTGCTAGACACTCTTGCTAG